AATATAAAAGTTTTTTTGAAAAACTAAGAATTAAAAATATGAATACATATTTTACTTAAAATTGAAAAAAAAAAGAACTTAAAATAGTTCATATGAAAAAAGACAACTAGTATAAAATAAATGTCCTCAATATCAGGATGAAGCTTTTCATGAGGTTAGAGGCATTAAATTAATATTTTTAAGCTCTGTGTATATACAGTATATAACTGGACTTCTATTTTCAAACTGTAGATGTTTCTCTTCCCATCAGGGAGGCTTTGTCAGTTGAAACTATTTGGAGTGGGAGCTTTAGAGCTTCATGAAGGTCTATAGCTTAGAATACAGAGTAGAAATCTGCCCCCAAACGGGACCATGATGCTTTGCGTTAGGCAAAGATGGCGGTATCTGCGAAATACTCCATTGCAGGATGGGGGAAATTGGTCTTAGCGGAGGTTTGCACTCTCCGAGTGCTTCTAGTTATATTTTGGATTTATGCACAATACAGGTCATGATAATTAGGAACAGTGGAGTTATGTGAGATAATATTACTGATCCAAGACTTTTTAGAAAAAATCCTATAATTAGTCCTTCATTGTTTTCTGAACACAAATTTTATAACTTATTTAGTGTGTCAAAAATAAACACATGCACACCAAAAGTATGATAATTAAGGTGCATGTTTTTTGGTAAAGAAGGGTGGAAAATAATGACCAACTTCCTGTTTTTTAAGGTTTCCAGAGAGGAGGAGGCAGTGGGATGTTGCAGTAAGAAGGGAGAGTTGTTGCCTCTGACAGGACACTGCTCTGCAGCCAACACTTCAGGTGTGAGGACTTCAATAGGACAGGACCGACTGTCCAGCTAACAGATGGTGGTGTTCCAACAGTCTTCAAAGGGTTTGTGTACCATTGGCCAACAAGAATTCAAGCTGTATAAGATACTATCATACTAGATATAAATATGATTAAATGTCACACTTCAGTAGTTCTTTCTGCACATTTAGGAATAAATAATGTTTCATCACAGCATATTTTAAACATTCTCTTTCACTGTGTTTATTTTAGCTGGTAGCAAGAAGAAGCATAACCACCTGAAGACCACCTGCAGATGGACTTGTCTCAGGATGAACCTCAGTCTGATGTGAGTATAAATTGATTTAGACTCTGATATAATCAATAAGTGAATATTGAACTGTTAACTATTGTTTAATTTTCACATTACTGTTATTTATATATGTGTAGATTTTGACAAAGCAACAGGGAGCCACTGCAGAAAGACCAAAGCAGTCCACTGACCACCCATACCCACTGTCTGCTGTCTCAAGGCTTTTTACACTAAACTGAAGGAAGCCACAGCCAGAGAGATGAAACTGCAGCTGGAGAAGTCTAATACCTTGGCAAGAGAAAAGAGGGCCGAGAAAAACTGTACATATTCTACAAGAGGACTGGACACACACATTTGTAAGATGTCATTATTAAAACAAATCAGTAGTGTTAAGTTTACTCAGATTTGTTTGGTGGTTGTTGGTTTATTGAAAGCAGACAGACGTCTTTACATCCCTTTGAAATGAATAGTTGTAAGTATGTTTCCAGTAACAAGGTCACAGTTAAGTTCTACTGCCTTTCTTGTTAGTCCTGGTTCAGACCTGGTTTAGTCTTTAGTTTTCAATCTGATAAAATAACATCCATTTTTGTAAGTTGAAGTACTTTCAAAGTATAACACAAATGTACTTTTATTTTTACTGATGTTGCACTTGTTGTACCCTTCTAGTCCACATTTCATTTTAGCATACTTTAAATCAGGGGTGCCCAACCAGTCGATCCCGATTGGCCGTTCGATCCTCGGCTGGTTCCCGGTTGATTACGGAGAGTTGTAGAACACAACATTGTTTGTTTAAAGGCACAGTGTGTAGGATTTTGTCAAGTCTTTTAGCCGAAATTGAGATAATCACTAATRACAATAATAAAAAAACATGTCTAATCATTGCAGACAAAGACCTTGTTTTATTATTTTTACCTTTATAAAAAGCTGTTTATATCTCTATGGTCGCGGGTCGCCACACAGGCAGCCGCCATCTTGCGCCGCCATCTTGTCTACGAAGGCTCATGAAGGACAAACTGCGGTGGCAGCGTCAAAAACGGTTTTAGTTGTAATTCTATAAATGTAATATTTGTTGTCTGTCATTGTAGCTGGGATAATTTTACTTATTAAAGCTCATAATCTTACCACTTGAAACATCACTAGCCCTGAAGCTGTTGGTAGACATCGCGGTTGAAATTATCAAAGGTTTTTGACACCTGAGAGACACCGGAGCAACACCTTTGCATTTGGAAGCAGGGGGTGGGGGTGGGGCGAGGACCCGGGAGGATGATTCAACCACTCAACCACTAGATGTCGCTGAAAACAACAAATCCTACACACTGTGCCTTTAACACTGCAGCCTTGAACACGCGCCCCCTCTTGTAGACGTGACCAGGTTTCATTCAGTTGTCTCGCGAATTTTGGGTGCGGTGACACAGCGCTCACAACATGATCTCACGAGACTTTAGTTTCAGTAGTATAGTTGTCGGTGCGGAAAAACATGGATGGAAAATGAGCGAACAAGCAAACAAAAACTTATAATTTTCACCCGGAGTGGGAGGAGGAGTATTTTTTTGTTTATTCTAATTCAAAGTCTATTTGCCTCATATGTAATTCGCGCGCTGCCTTACCCAAAAAGGGTAACTTGGAGCGGCATTTCAAGACGATGCACAAACGGTACAAGACGTATTTCCCTCTTAAAAGTTCTTTACTCTTTGACTCAGAAAGTGCGGGAGCAGAAACAAGCTTGCAGGACAGCAGTCGATTTTCACTCGGCCCAGCACAAAAAGGTGAGGCTGAGATAGCCTCATACTGTGTTAGCCGCATCCTGGCTCTACACAAGAAATCTTAAGAAGCGTTTGAGGCTGCAGATGTGCTTTTTCATGATTTTAAAAATAAAATTGAGATCGTGGCTGCTATTTAAGACGTGCAGTTGTCCAGACAAACTGTGACACGGCGATGTGAGGGGAATGGATGTGGAGGAGCGGCTAAAGAAGGATGTCGAACAATCTGAGTGTTTATCTCTTCAGTTTGATGAGTCGACCGACGTGGTGGATGTGGCCCAGCTGTGTGTTTTTATCAGAATGGCCTTTGCAGACGAGTGCAAAAGAGGAGCTCCTCACCATCTTGCCTTTGAAGGGACACACAAGAGGAGAAGATATTTTTAATACGTTTATGGAGTTTGTTAATAAAAGCAACTAGCCCCTCTATAAACCCATTTCCATAACAACTGATGGCGCTCCAGCATTGACCGGTCACACCAGTGGATTTGTTGCACTCTGCAAGCAGAATGACTCTTTCCTAGACATTTTGAACTATCACTGCATAATCCACCAACAGGCCCTGTGTGGGAAGATTTTAAACATGAAGGAAGTGCGTATGAGACCCTGGCCGCCTCCTCCCAGTGTCAGAAGACCCACTAAGGTAGAGATACATTTATTTTGTGTCCTTGTTACGTCTGTTTGTTGTTTTCTTTTTATTATATTTTAGACCAGACTAGTGTGTTATACACTGACTGGCACCTTTGTGTTTGTTTGTTTGTTCATTTATTTATTTAGCAGTTTTGTTGTGCCATTGTTTTCTGTACCTAACATGGCTGTGTGTGTGTCTTGTCTGATAGATGGTGAACATGTGGAACTCTTTGAATGGTCTGGAGCCGGCAGTCTGGACCAGTGAGGGACTGAGCTCTTCAGCACCTACAGATGACACCATCCTGCATGCTGCACAGAGATTGAGGTTTGAAATAGTTGTTGGGAGGTTTGTGATTCTGCACCATCGTAAGTCACTTTTTGTAATAGTATAGACGAGAGACTTTTATATTGTGTGCTTTGACTTTGAGAAAAGGGCGGCACTCTTGAGGTAGCAATGTTTTTTATTTTGTTTTTCCTCCCCTGCATGAAGAGAAGAGAGGAGAGTTCTTTGAATAAACGGAGACGAGTTCCCGTACTCCAAAGTTATTTGACTCTGTGGTTGTCTCACTGGGCAGGTTTCCAGCCCTCATAGCTTGCATGTTAGAGTGAGTACTAATAGGAGGTAAAAAAATTGATCCTTTTTGTTCAAGTATCACTTTTCTGTTTCTCTGTCAGGAGTTAAGTAAGGATTTTATCTGTTCTTTTTTTTTGTAGGTAAATATATGGTTAAGTAGATAGTTTTGTTTGACAGTACTTCAAATTAAATAAAACTAGCAACACATTACGTTCTGTTTTATTTACTTTAAAGAAGTTAGGAGTAGGGAGATGAAAAATTGTTTTTTTTGATACTGAGACTGGACGAATAGATCTCTGCAAACTGCCGACTTCAAAAATAGATCTTGGTTCAAAAAAGGTTGGGCACTCCTGCTTTAACTAATTACTAAAATTGAAATACTATTTTTAACATTTTACTAATTAGATTATACTTGGACTTGTAGAATACTATTTATATGAAGAAATATACTTCCTACTGTATTCTTAAAATAACTGATAATGTATGTACACTACACTGTATGTTTACAAAATCACAAGACAGAATCTTGAGAACAACTTTGATGTATTTCTTTACCATAAAAAATGCTGTACAGTGTTTTTTTCAAATACCTGTTTAAATTAGAGAATTTGTACAGGTCAAAAACCAAAAGCTTCTAAGAAATTAAACCCTTCTTAGCTTTAAAAATTGAAAGGAAAAGTTGCATTTTTGCATTAAAAATATAAACACAAGGTAGTCAAAAATCAAACATCTCAAAAATCTTAACAAAATAGGGTCTCCAACTGAGAACTGAACCTTTTCTTGTCAAAAAAAAGTAACAGAAAGTTGCACATTGTTGGAACAAAAAATAAACATATTCACATAAAAACAAAAACATAGTTTTAGGAGTTCATTTCATGTAGTTGCTTGGCATAGCTTAAATTGTTGCATTTCTTTCTAATGATTCGTCTCACAACTTGCATGGTGGTGTCGGAATTTCACCTGGGCACAGAATGAGTGAAAACACACACACACACACACACACACACACACACACACACACACACACACACACACACACAC